TCCAAAAAAAGAGAGAACAGGATGGATGAATTAATTAATCTTATTCATAAAAGAGTCTTTATGTGGAATGATGAGCCATCATTTTTCTTTCTAAACTATTTCAATTTTGGAATTTATCATATTAGAGAAATTTCCACTTATAATAGTAACTCACAACTCACAAATTACAATCGGAAATTGTAGGGAATTTTTATATTTTAAAATTTCGTCTAAATTAAGATACAAGCATACAAATAAGCAAATATTGTATGCAAATTTACATATAGTAATCATTTCAGTTTTCAACAACTTTTTGTTGTATCAGCAAAGCAAATGTTTTTTTGTTTTTTTGAAGACCAATTCATGCATTTCAGAATTCACTTTGAACAATGAGTATTTCATGCACCGTTTCATGTCAATTAAGATATTATTAGACAAAAACTAGCAAGTTAGAAGTGAAATGTACGAAGTGTATGGAAGGTACGATTATCGAGATTTCTAGCTTAAAAACAACATTCCACATATTTGGAGATTAGATGATTGACTTATCATACTTTCACCTTTTACAAATTATCAAAAGATAATGTTCTATTCATTGTTTGATAAACCAATATAATTTTATTACTACTAATCAATAACCAGTGCCATTAACCAGTTCTGTCATTGATTATTCAAAAAATCCGGTAATATAGACTTAAAATGAAATATGCATGCTTCACTTGGTTTCTCTGATTATTATCTTATCATTTCTCGGAAATGGAGATGTGACTCACCCTTACATACAATCTTCCGGAAATGTCATTCATGTTCTTTCGATCTTTTTTAATATTCAAATATGTTCGGCCGATTTGTTCATAAATTATTAATTCACAGTGAATTTCCACAGAAACTGACGTTAGAGAGCGGCAACCATATTTTGAATACATTTAAGAAAAAGAAACCCACAAGCAGCATTCTGCCTGGGAAATCATAAAATGTTTTCTTTGCTGTTCGAAACATTCATATGAGTTTTTTTCCAGATGTCTGGTATTTGATCTTTTCATTACTTTAAACTAGAAAAATGAAATACTGCAGACAATTGATCTAAAATAGATGACCAAAAAAATAGCACATCCAACGTCTCACATAATTCCAGAACATGGATAAAAACTTTTCATCAAACTTTTTTTTATTTTTAGCTGCTAATTCATGTACATACAATAATGGAATTAGAAGATGGCTGCAGGTGAGCAGAAATCCAATTTTGAAATACAACAGCCAAGCTATCCCAATAATGAGATGTGTTAAACAATTAATATTCATAATTCACACATACATTCAGCAGATTTTATCGTGACAAATATGTTTATAATAATGTTTTTGCAACATCTCTGATGCAGTTTTTAATTCGACAAAAGTAACAATATAATGAATTTCCATCATCAGTTCCCTCTCTTTCTCCTCTGCGTGTTCACCAACTTCCTGAACCTTGCAAACGGGCTCAAAATCACTTTCCAGTCAGCAACAATTGATGTATATCAAAACAAAGACGAGTTAAGCATTCATCTAAGTTGACTGGCAATATTTCGTTTGCAATCTCAATATCATTAGTAAATACAACATCCCAATCAGTATATTCGTCGAGACCACATTCAGTCATTTGATCATCAATTCCCTTGACAAATACGAAACCACGCATTTCCCGCACTGGTAGCGCTGTTTCGATGCGTAACAACCTGCAAAACTACCAAAACAAAGAGTCATATTTTTTAGTTTCTGTCTACTTAGTAAGAGAATTTAGGATAAATCCCAGACCATTCGAAAAAAAGAAACAAATTAAGCCGACCTGAAAAAAGGCCAAAAAATCTTTCGATAATATTAACAGGTTATTAATGATATGATCTATTTCTCAAGGAGAACTAATGATAAATGATTATATAATATATGTAACCTCAAACGAGGACCACAATGCATTTTAAAAAACTCAATATCAGAAAGCCGTCGACAATCAGTCACAATCAATACATCGGCTGAATTTGCCTTTGCGAAAACCTTCCTGAAATGATCAGTCATTCGATCTTATATAAACATTCAAAATTTTTCTTATGTTTCTTCGTTAATTGCTAAGAACAACTTTTCCAATAAAGACACTTTTCATCTTAACTTACCTGCAAAAATATCCAGGATCATCGATTCGCTTTTTTTCACCCCATGCAACCATATCTCGACGATATATCTCCTTGTACCGCATATCATATTTCAAGCGTTCAGCATCAACACCATTCAATTGAGCATACTCTTCCTTCAGTGGATAACTTATGCCACAAATAATAACTTTATAACCAATTTCTTCTAAACGATTCGCCAACAAGCTTCCCATAAAATCCTTACCACATTTTCGTTTGCCAGAAAGACAAATAACCACAGGCTTCATTTCTCTACAACCAATTCAATAAAATTATATTTTTAAGAAACTGAAGCTCTACAGTGTTAACGTAAGTACTAAAGTCTCTAAACCTCTCCGCTACTAAAGTCTCACTCACCACATCTATCTGGCCAGAAAACGTAGTGTATCTTTCGGCAATGGCCTGACTGCATATGTAAGATACAATCATATAGCTCTTTCCTGAAAGAAGTGAATAAGTGGATATATAACACTTCTTACGTAACCACGACAGATAAGTGTCACACGGAACTTGAATCATAAACCTACTGTTCGAAATAATTCACAACGAACTGTTCATCATAAACAAATGCTTCATCATTCCGCCAGCCAAGGAAACAATTGCACCTTTTCTTAATTAAATGAAAAAAAAGGAAAAAAGTAAAGTCTAAATTTTCCAAACACCTTCATCATCTAATCCCCTTGAATAACATTAACAGTTGTTCCACTTCTCATTGCGGCTCTTAATCCTGAGCATTTCGGAGTAAGTTCTTGATAATTTCTCGAAAAACAATTAGTTCACCAGTTTAAAAATAATTTATTTGAAATCTATTTTAATCAAATCAGCGCTACACAACAGAAACATTGTGAAAAAAGAAACAGAACAAAAATATAATACAACTGTCAAACGTATAATATAAATAATTGGTAGCTCTTGAATGGAATATCTTATCTATCGTGTGTGAATAAACCTAATCATTAAAAAAATTATATTTATCCACCAACGATAATATTATTAATTGGAATATGGATCAGCTTGACAAAGAAACCGATAAAACCCATTATAGCAAAACCGACTGCTGTTGCTACTGCGATTTTCTGATACTCTGAAAATTGTGGCAATTTGAAATAACATATTTCTTCAATTTATTACTCTGCTGTGCAACTGACTAATGTCAACTTCCTTACTTACGAAAATGAATGTCTTCTCTGCCTATCACACTTGTTCCTATGGCTATGGTTTAGAGAAATTTTTAATATTTTCACGAAAATACTACAATTTAAATATAACTCATCAACCTTAAGCTACTTCACCCTTAATTCTATGATAATCGAAGCGACAATGTACAATAATTGGAAATGTGCAAAAAATGACAATAAACAATCGTATCTTTGAAAAGTAAGTTAAATTAAGTTCACTAGGTATTGGAAAAAAGAACTGGATCTGAAAAGTGATCCAATTAATCAAAGCTACCTTTCCTATCCGGTTTTGTGCATCTTTTCACCAACCGAATTGAATCTTTAGCGAATTGCTTGCTTGGATCAATTAACGCTTGCAAATGGTCCATTGAAATAAACTCTGAACAAAATACATGATTTAAAGCAAGGAGTGACCTTCACAACTAGAATTTTGCAAAGAATTAAGAAATCCGAACTCCTAAGTTGAAAGTAACAAAGGCCAGAAAATAAAAGTTTTTGCCATTTCTTGATATTTGTTGCCTTATTACACGCATTTGCGACCCACATTAACATCCCAGGTGTGAGTCACGGTATCAAGCATACTTCTGTCGAAAAAAAGATTCGAAATGTCCTGTTCAAAAACGTTGAGCAAAAAAAGCTTAAAGTGTTAGTTGACCTTTCCCCCCATCCATCCTTAACTGCATAATATTCCCTTATAGATCATAACCGCCACTTACCCAGATTCCGCATACCTACCCACTGACAGACCCGCCTTGCGACCCATCCGGAAAGCTCGCCGTCAAACGACCCGCCCACCGCACCCTTCCAAAGCAAATGTGCCATCAAAAAAGAAACTCAACTTCACTTCCGGCAGGTTCCGGAGATGCAATGCTAAAAACCAACAAACGATCCATATGCGACCTTTCATTTGTCTCTTACTCACGTCATACACTATTTTATTTTTGTATTTCGTCTGTTTTGTTTCTTTAAGCACCTTCACGCTACGCCTTATTCTATTCCGATTGATCGCATTTGTCTTTCTTAATTTTCAGCTTCAGATTATAAATATTTTCCTCGACCATATACTGTAGCATGAAAAATGTCTTGAATGAATTTTAGAAGTAACAATTTATTCAATAATTTGAAGAATTTAGAAAAATTCAGATGATATCTCCCGTCTAATTCCAACTCGCACTCTACACAATTTCACCTTTCTCTCTCCTCTGCTTCCCCCTCCCTTCCTTCGTACTCCTTTTCTTCTCTCTGTCTCAAATTTCTTCCAATGTTTGGCTATTTGTTCTATGCAATTCAGGAAAAACTACAATAGGATTTCATTGTGAGATTTGAAATGTCTTTTTCAGCTCTATTTTGTCTGTAGTGATTTGAATTTATTACTGAGAGATGATAATTTAAATGATTTTAAATCTTATCGGTGATAATAGCTGATGAGACTTTAAGAGATAGCAAGTGATGATTGTGGTTAAATTGTTAGTCGCAAAATTAATAAGTTTCCACGTTTATTTTAATTAAAAATACATTTGGAATCCCATTTAGTCTTAAAAATTATATATTGCTTTAATGCTAGTTAGAAATGCATATAATGGAATTCAGTGGTATAATTTCATTTCTTGATTTGTTTTGATTAATTTTTATTTATCTCCTTGACTACTTTTGCAGTAATTAGCAACATTAGTGCTAGATTCGGCTGTTCATTTTCTAGTTTTCCTTTTCATTTTTATTTATCACAAATGATACTTTAATTAAATCTTTATAACCAACAATGCATATGTTCTTCTGCTTTATTGCGTTATGGATGGATCACAGCAATTGTTTTCGAAATTGTTTTCGGCATTGTAGAGCCGTTCTTTTTTCTGTGTTTTATAAAGTCCGGAAGATACAAATGGATAAATTTAAATGTATCGGAAGCTTAATCTTCAATTTCCCTTAATTGCAGATTTTGATACAACTTCTTTGTTGCAAATTATTTTTATGTTTTTAAAATTTTTGAAATTTTCTCTCATTTACTTCAGTTTTCTTTGTTAGAGATAATGGTCACCTTGCTGGATTAATCAAACTTCTTTCAATGCGAATACTATAGTTTTTCAGACTAATCTTCGCTTAATCAATAAGTTAAATCGAAGAATGATCATTTAGATAGCACTCAAAAAGATGGTCATTTTATATGATAATGTGATAAAACTTGGCTATTAGCTAAGTTTAAACAAGAGAGTACTTATTGTCAGTATTATTTTTCTGTAGGCATTATAGCTGTTGCGTTGATAACTCACCTGTATCTGACGTTACATTTGTTTAATATATCTTCAAATGTTTTGATCATTTCACAATGCTTAAACATTCGTTTTACACAATTATGATCATATTTTGTTTTTTTAAAAAATCAAAATTTTTTTTGATATTAAATAAAACTGAAAGTAACAGGATGATTTTTCAATTCTTCGAAAGTATTCTTCGAGTACTGTAATATATCTGGCTCAATTTTTTTTGTGGTTTTTATAAACTAAGATGAAAGTGATTGTCTGAACGCTTTCCTGTTTCCAATTATAATTTTCCAAAAATTTGCTAATAAACCAATCATAATTTGTTTCTCCTCTTCCTTTCGTTTCGTTTCATTTAATTTGTAAGTGGAAATCAACCATATGGACTCATAAATTATTATTACTTCAGTGGTAATATTTAAAAAGGAATAAATTTTCGTTCATTTTTTCCGATCTTTCTCTTTTCGAAGGACACTGTAACTATCAATGTGTCATTATTAATTTTTTTTATTATTTATATTAATAAGTTCAGCAAAATTATTATTAATGTTGTTTGTATTGTTAAATTTGGATATGACATTAAAGATAATGGAGTATTTCGAAAGCTTTAAAATTGGTTTTCTTTTTCTTTTTTTATCCAAGCATCAAATAGATTTTGAAAGTATTTCCTCCATAATCATTCAAAATATATAGCAAAAAAAAACTTTTTCTAAAGAAAAGTTCAAAGTTAGATGAATTTTTTCTAAAAAGAAAAATGACTTTCAAAGAGATAAATTAAAATAAATCTATGATGTAACCTAGAAAGGGAGAAAAAGAAGGAAAGGAAATGAAAGAAAAGGTAGGAAAAAGAGAAACTTAGGGAGAAAGTCTGGGATAAATTCTCAGAACAAAAACTTAAGGGATTCAACAAATTTAAGAAATAAAAATATAAAAATGAGGATGGGAAATTAATAACGTGAAACCGGATTATTTAAGTCTCTATTCACGAAAACGAAATCATTAATCAAGCATATATCCTTGAAAAAACTCTTCGAGAAATAAAATTTTCAAGGAATATACGAAAAATTTACCAAATTTCTACCACGATCAATATTTTAGTAGTAATTTACTAAACTTTGTTTTATAGAAATTCGGTAAAAAATCTTTTTCTAAAGAAAAGTTTAAAGTTAAAATGGAACTTTTTAAAAAAAGGACTCAAAGTTCAAAAATTTAAAAGTTAAAAAATTGAACCTTTAAAGAAGAGGATCGGAGAGATAAATGAAAAGGCTAAATAATTTTGAGAAATGAATGATCCATAAAATTAAATTAAAAAGTTTGATAATTTTGGAAAATGTATTCATATATATGAATAAAAGGAATGCATGATGTAACCGAAGAGGCATCGAGAAGAAAAGGCAGGAAAAACGAAAATAAAGTGAAAAGAAGATATCATACTTAGAAATTATAAATATATTTTCGTCAATTTTCCATTGTCCCACTTGTTATAACTCTTAAATTTTCACTGCGAATTCATTTAAATTCATTTCAATTCATTTCATGTTTGATAAAAACCGGTCTTTTTATCGTCGCGTGGAGCGGTGCAAAATGAATAAATTTGGTAAATTTTGAAGGGGCAGAAAGGCGAAAAAAGGCAGAAGGGTAGAGAAAAGGAAATTGGAGGATGTAAGATCAAATTAATTGCTTAATAATTTTTAAACATGCAAACTAAATAAGTAATTAACTAATTACAGTAGTATTTTTCAAGAACAAGAATAAAATAAAATGGTGAAAGAAATGGAAGAGAGTGAAGAACGAGATTGGAGACGGAAAAGGTGAGTGAGAAAAGAAATTTGCATCAAATGAAATATTCCATATCTCTGTTCTCAATCTCCTTAATTTCCTTTCCACTTACCTCTTATCCTTCTCTTTTCTTTTCACTTCAAATATACACTGAAAAGCATTATCGTCTCTGAGAGTTACTAATGAATGAATGAATGAATGAATGAATAGTTCGCTGAACAATCTTTCATTTACAAAACAGGATTTTATAAGGTACACACAGCAGAGAGAGAAAGAAAGAGATGAATGAAATTTCTTTCAAACTACACTTTTCCATCAGCGGTTTTCATATTTCGTGATGTAGCCGCCATCTTT